TGACGCACAAACGGGTATGCTCGGTAAATTTTATCGGAGAGGAAATAGTTGTGCGCAAAAAAACCTGTTTGGTTTCGATTCGCAGCTCTCCATCTCTGCGCTGAACTTACTGAGCTTTAAATCGCAGCGGGCACCCAACACCTATCAAATTGTGCCGTAGTCTGTATCCTTTTGAGCGAGCCTGCATTTTCTAGCCGCTCGTGATGTACACCCTCTGGCACGGATCCATATCGTCTGGTACAAGAGACAACTCAGAGGGATCCTTGCCAGCATGCAACTTAATTTGGGCAATGTTTGGATTCCGCAGCCGAACATATGAGACGGCGTCAAACGAAAAGGTGCTTACAAACCTAAGTACGAATCGCGATTTAGGCACATCATTGGAAAGAGGATGATCTCCTCTCTTGATTGGTGCATTCAGATCTACAAAAATTACAAAACTCACTGAGCGACGATCCTTAGAAAACCATGTCTCCTTGAAAAAAAATTTTCGGAAAAAATGTTCGTAGACCCCTGGAAACAATTTTTCTTACTGAATCGATTGCACCTGGTCCCAGTATCTAATTTGCACTTCTTCCTTTTTAAATATGTGTTTGAAGTTGGAGATCTCAATTTTGAAGGGTATATTTTGAATTTTTGGGTACATCATTTTAATTTTTTTAAGGTATTTGTTTATAGGATGGAAGGATCATTCTGATGTATTGCTAACATTCCACTCACGAATTGACCTAATTATCTTTCTTTGCGCGCTTTCGGCTTCGGGTTCCAGTCTTGGGCTGCGCTGGTGTAGCTTTCAACACGTTTGCACGGCCTTCATTCCCTTCTTCACTTTCAACCGGGGCAACCTTCGCCTCATCAGAAACTGCAGCGTCTCTCTTTTTTTTGGCACTTGCGTTTCGACGTGCCTGCTTAGCCTCCTTCGCGAGGCGCTCTTCCTCATCCGTAGAAGCTGCGTACAGGGGATCCGACGCAAACTCGGAAGGGACGTACGGTCTTACCTTGTTGTACATTTGCTGCTTTTTCTCGAAATTCTGAGGCGGGGGTTGTAGAGGCTACAAGTACGCAGCTAGCAGAGTTTGCACTTTTGCGGCGTCTGTCTGTATGCCGTCAAACGACCGGCGAAGGTCTTGGTCAATAGGCTCGTCTACAGGTCCAACACGGCAGCTGACAACCCCCGGCTTCTCCTCGCTCATTGAGAAGATCTGGTAGCGCTGCACCCCCCTTAGATCCTTATAGGGCTTCTGTGACCGGCGTCGGGAACACTTTCATCATCGGGT